TTTGACTGTAAATTGACCATAGTTGACTTTTCCCCCAATAGAGTTGATTTTTAGGTCAACTGCTCAATTGACCGAGCAATAGTGTGATCCAAAGCTTGAAACTTGACATAAGTAATCTTGAGGGTCCATAATGATCCATGAAATTCATATGGGGCATTGAAAGTTTAAATATCCTTGTGCAATCTCAAACCCTAATTTTTGTCATTAGTGCTTAAGGAGGTGTCTTGAGCTGATCAACCCTAGTGCAGTCTTGAGGCAAAGGAGATCTTGTAAGCAAAATTCTTGATAAGTGAGAGGGAAAATTTTGGAGTACAACACAAGGTAACATGTTAATTCAGGAAATAGATCTACTTGTCAATTATGCAACAAGTATGGGCATTCAGTTCTTGACTTCTGGCAAAGGTTTGATGAGAACCATGTTCCGACTACACCAAAATCGCATGCTCAAGGCACTGCAAGTAATAGCACAAGTAATTCTCAAAGCTCAAATGCACTGACTAATATCATTCATGAAGCCTCTACATACATAACACATCATAGGAAACTGAACATACCGCAAGATATTAAAGCACAAGCCTGGTTCACAATCTAAGGTGCTTCTCATCATATAATTTCTCACAGTTTACATCTACAAAGTAATGCATCAAGTGTAGGACCAAACAAAGTTATTATTGGTAATGGACAATTCCTAGAGGTTAAGTCTATATGATGTTCTCAGTTTGCCTCTAATCATATTCCTAATCACTTGTTAAAACTCAATGACCTAGTCTTTGTTCCTTACATTACTCCAAACTTAATATTTGTCTCCAAGTTTTCTAAGGATAATAGAGTGTACTTTGAGTTTCATCATAATCACTGCTTTGTTGAATCCCATGCATCTAATCAAGTTCTCCTTAAAGGAAAACTTGATAAAAGTGACCTCTATTGCTTCTCTACAATTGCTTTGGACCAGTCAAGAGCTAAAGTGTCTTCCAAGTCATGTCCTTTGGATCTTGTTGTTAATAATACTTTAGGAATTGTTAGTTAGTTAATTCATGTCAGTTGACTACTAAAAATGTAAACTCTGGTTTTATGGCTCAATGACATGCTAAGTTAGGCCATGCTAACACCAATGTCATGCAAAATGTATTTCAATTGTGTAATGTTCGATTCAGTAATAAAAAGTTCACTGAGTTTGGTAAATCTTGCTGCCTTGATAAATCTCATAGGTTACATGCTCATTTGTCCAATACAAAATATCATAACTTGTTAGATCTCATTTATACTAATTTATGGGGCCCTGCAACAACTTCATCCCACAATGGCTATAACTATTATATTGCCTTTATGGATGCTTATTCAAGTTACACTTGGATATATTTTTTGAAAAACATAAGTGATGTCCTCTTAGCTTTCACCCTATTTCAGAAGTATGTTGCTACCTAGTTTAAAGGCAAGATTAAGGCTGTTCAGGCTGGATTTGGTGGTAAGTTCACACCATTCACCAAGTTTCTTAATGAACAAGGAATTTTGTATAGACTCGCTTGTCCTCATACATCACATCAAAATGAAAAAGTTGAAAGAAAGCACAAACATATTGTAGAACTAGATCTCACATTGCTGGCCCATGCAACCATGCCTAGCACATATTGAGACCATAGTTTTACCATTACAATTTATCTGATTAACAGACTGCCTACCAATGCATTATCAGATTTTTCATCACCTTTTGCAACAGTAAACAACAAGCAACCTGATTATAACTCTCTTGGATATTTATCTATGCCTGCTATCACACTTGGGGCCCTACAAAAAGCACAAACTTGACTTCAAAAGCTCCAAATGTGTTTACTTGGGAGTCTCACCCACACACAAAGGACATAAATGTATGAATCATGAAGGGAGAATCATATCCAAAGATGTTATCTTCCATGGGGAAGAATTTTCATTCAAACTTGGCTTCACAACCACATGTTCTTCTGTCTCTCTCTCTTCAAGCCTTAATCATGTATGGAGTTGTACATGTCTGTTCAAATCAACAGTGGCATTGAGACATCCACAAGAAATGCATAAATCTAACCATTAGCTAATAACATCAACCAGTAAATTGGCTTAGATATGAATACTAACTTAGTGGCACAAACTTCTCTAACAGGTCATAACTAATATGTAGGTGGTGTGTCCAATTCACACGAGACAATGTTTTTTGCGCTAGTGTCACATCACTCTACCATGTCAGAACCTGTCGTATAGCTTTAAGTACTGAAGTATCTAAACAGGTGGGACCCTCAGTGACATCTCCACATCTACATGTTTCACCTAACCGGTGCTCTTCCTCGATCATTTAAGCTTCTCGTTCAATCAAACTTATCACTCCATTATACTTCATTTATTGCAAAGCTTCTCACTCCATTCAAACTTCTCATTCACAACTTATATTTGATAATTTTTTTCAAAATTCATTTTTTATTGTGTTTTGAATGATTTTTTAAGAAACATAAGTTGTATAAGCTACATTAGGTTGTGGGAAATCAAAATAGGTAGCGTAAATGGAGATGCGTTGAATATGTTTGGATTTTAGGGCGGAAGTGACGTTTATGTCATGGCCGAAATCACATATTTGTCAGAAGATGAATCTTCAGATTATGTTTGAACTATTTTCGAAGATGTATTTTTGGATTGGAACAAGGAAAAATTTTGGTTGAATTTTTTATTTGACTATCTGGTTTTAACACATGTGCAATGGTTAAAAACAACCCAAACAGCGTCTATACGACGTGAGAGGGCCGTTGGCAAAACCACGAGACCATAAGTTAATGATACCTCATTTGATAGTTCACAATGATGAGGTTCATAACCATCTGGTTATACTTCCGTAGTCGCTTGTATAGGCCTCTACTTTACGGGGCCAGAACCAAATTATGAAGCGTCATCTGAATCCCTCAAAGCCCAAAAAGAACCCGATGTTGATTGGTTCAGGAATGCCATCTGTTATTTTGGCCTAGCCAGTTTATGTTCTACTGCATACATGACTATAAACCATGGCATACAAGCGACATATACAAAGTGATAAAACTCAGAGACATCATATTTCCACCTTCCTATTAGAGAGATGATCATCACCCCAGATGAGGTCTCATGCCTCATGCATCTTCCCATAAGGGGGAAATTACGGGGCCATTGTAGGCTCGATAAAGAGGAAGCGAGCAAGAATTTTGTTGCGTATTTAAGGGTTGACCAAAATGAGGCCGCTGATATCAGAGGTGCTCGTGCTAGATTTAAAATTTTGGAAGACCTCTATAAAGACCATGTGCATATGGCTTTGGATGCTGACGGTAATGACATGCAAATTGAGTACCATCGATAATGTGCATTGAGGTATAATATATTATTCCTGATTGGCACGTCTATTTTTCTAGACAAAAGTGCAACCTATATCGATGTGGTCTACCTTGAGTACTTTATCGACTTGACGACGATTCATGAGTAAAACTAAGGAGGTTGTTTGTTTGGATATATGTATTCAAAATTGGGCAAGGATTGTCTTTAAAAGACAAAACAAATGACAGAGAGTTGCATGCTGCTTATGGTAATTTACCGTTACTAACATTTTCATAATTACTTTTTTACACTTGTTAATAATATTTTATTTGAACCAATTTGACTATTTGTAGATTATTCTGAGACCACTTTTGAGTCTGCTCCTTCCACCTTCCGACGCAGAGATCTTGATGCGATATTTGAGAATTTCGAGAGTCATTTGGTACCAGTGGAGTATCACATGATTTTGGTTCATGTACATTAGACTTATGTAGACGACTACATGACATAGTTCTATAGAATGTCACACTATATCATAACACCAGTCGCTCTTGAAAGATTAATTAGGCCAACTAATCAGGAGGTACTTTAGACTAGAGATGACCACACCAAAGACGTGTCAGCAGTCTATCAACATATTATGGAGATTGGGAGATCAGACACAGAGGCATGATTTTTTTGAGAAAGACAGTTTCCATTTGGCCCTCGTAGAAGGCATAATTTATGTTTATTAGTATTTTATGTATTTTCTAAACAAGTTATTTATTTATTACACATTTTGATTTTATTTTAATTATTGTATGACTCTTTTAATGCTGGTTTGAATCAATTATTGTATTTGTTGTTTAACTTATGGCCTAAAATTAGTGTCACTTTAGTGCGGAATGGGTCAAGAATTTATGCCATTACCCTCTAATGTGTCTCCGTCCCGTCCCGTTTTTATGCATGTTTATGCGGATGGAGACATTAACATGAAATTTTGTATTTTTAGGCTAAAAAGTGCAGTGTCTGTGGGACCGTCCTACCTTATCCTCACTTTTAATGTGGGACGGATTAAAGTTTTAGGTCCACACTCTTAATTATGCTTGCCCCACCCTGCTCCGCCCTCACTTTTAGTGCGGGGCAGGTTAAGGCTTTAGACCTATACCCTTAACTAACTTTGTCCCGCCCCACCTTATTTTTTACATGCTTCTGCAGAACGAGCTTAAATAGAGGGACATGCTTAAACGTGGCGGACATGACTATTTGTCACCCATACGTAAAATCACCTAAAATATGAGTTGGTCTAAAAAATTTCAATATTAGAGATTTCTGAAGACGCATCTCCGAAATATCTTTTGTTCTATACCCAAATAATATACGTATATATATCTCCAGACTATATTTTACTCAAAATAATAGATACAAAAAAGACAAAGACATGTCTAATTGTAGATGCATCCGGAGATGCTCTGAACGCATGAAAAATATTTTTAAATTTCTAAAGGTGTGAGACAAAGAGCATTTCTCTTAGAAGTTTTATCCGTTACATGTACATCACACTCCTACTTAGGTTAAATAAGCACCTACCACCAATATCGACGGTTGATTGTGACTTGTCATGAAATACTAGTAAAGATATTCAATGTGCAAGATTGTATGTTGAGAGAAGTAAACATAGAATTGATAGACAGACTAATATTAAATCTTCTGCTGTTATTTTAATAGTAATCCAAGGTCTCACAAGTACATGTCGGAAGTAAGGAAACATGGAGTGTTCTGCACAGTGTGCAGGCTAAAGCAGTGGCGAAGTCAGAAAAATTATGAAGTCTGGGCAAACTTTCACTGGCTTCATAATAGTAATCCAAGGTCTCACAAGTACATGTCGGAAGTAAGGAAACATGGAGTGTTCTACACAGTGTGCAGACCAAAGCAGTGGCGAAGTCAGAAAAATTATGAAGTCTGGGCAAACTTTCACTGACTTCATAATTTTCTACCAAGATCGTATTTGACATAATAATTTTTTGACGAACCGTAACAGATAAACACTCTTCAAAAAGTTCTTGAAACATGTGTCTTTCTCTACAAGTATACCATAAGATATTGTTAAAATATTTTTGTTATAAACACAATCACATAGGTTTCGTGTGCGCGATAAACATATCATTATATAAAGAGGAAGACAATAGATAATCTTGATAATGGAGGATCAGCGTTGAATGCCTCACATATTCACTAAGTTCAACTAAACAGCAAGCTGAACAAGGTAGAGCTTGTAAGTTATAACTCACTTTTAAGTGTCTAGATTATGGTTTAGAAGAAAATTATGTTGCAGTCATCCCAATCTATTTCAAATGTAGAATTAGGAGTCTCCATACTAATTTAGTTGGTGAAACCTTCATACTAATTTAATGAAAACATTGTGTATGTAAATATCACAAACTTAAATAACGTCATCCTTATCACAAGGAAAGAATTTACAAATTTTTCACCAACTAGTAGCAGTATAAGCATGCTTAAGTTAGAACTATACACACCTTGGTTAAGAATATAGGTAACCATTTTTAATGAGTTTAAGTCTAAGGTGGAAACTTTGAGGTTCAAGCCTCTCATAAGTATGTCTCTTTAGGATACTATTTTGAGCGAGGTGTTTTACTAAAACCCAAATCTTTTCCACAATGTAATCTGTTTAGGCTACTTTAAGCACTGTATTTGTTTAACCTACTTGAAGTTTACAAGAGATAGTTTAAATCCAAACCTTAGCAAAAGTTTATAGCTTGAATCTTTCAAACAGAATGCTAAGAGGGTCTAAAGCAAGTTATGTAATCAAAAAATAAAAAATCAAGTCATTCACAACATGCCATTTCAAAATTTTCAATGTCATATTTTTCAATGTACTCATAATGATTGACAACAAATAAAGCAAATGTCAAATGAACATGAAGTGAAAAATAAACATAACACAAAAAAACAAATCTTAATTTCTTATTATCTAAATAAGATTGTAAATCGAAACCAAGTGAGAGTAAAGTTATGTACTAACACACATTTATAATTCCAATAGGGAGTGGACTTGTGGATACTTGAATTTTATTGTTGATTTTAGAGAGTTGTATCAGGTAGGTTTAATTTCACTTTTGCTTGACTTCAACTTTTTCAGCACAAGTTTAACAAGTGAATTAATCAATAACAACAATTCAGCACCATAATTCGTAAGAAATAGAAGCGAAAAAGGAAAAAGGAAAAGAAATTTGGTTGAGGCAATTTATCGAACACTTAGTGTGCAAGTTGCAAAACGGTGGAGAGAAGGATTAAGAAATGATGGTGAAGAAGAAATATACATTCACAGTACAATCCCCACTCCTAACATAAAATGAAGTCCCGTTTATTATAAACTTGGAGAACCAGAATGGAAATTGGTAAGTAAAGCATAGAGGTAAAACTCACTCACGGGATTCAGAATGCGGAAACGGCGAGGAAACTGTAGGAGCTGCCAGAAGAGAAAGAGAAGAGTGAGGAATTATGAAGAGTGAAGAGAGTTTAGGAACCGGTAACACAACTCGTAACTGAAGAGCCTGGGCAGCTGCCCGACCTCGCCGGGCGCTGGCTCTGCCTATGGGCCAAGGCTTACAGATGAGGTGGCTGGGTGCGAACAACCTTTAGTGGAGCCTAGTTGGATATTGCATGAACCATTAGACAACTAAAGGGTTGTTTAAATTGACTTATATGATCTCATCTAGTGAGATAAGCATGGTTTCAGCTTATTTCCATAAAATACTTATATGATAAATGTTTGAATTATGAACATTCAATTAAGTTGTTTACACAAACATGGTTTAACATAGATATGTATTTGAACATGAGCTCTATCTATACAAGTCTCAGAACCATTCTTCTATTATTCATCACAGCATTTTCTACAAGTAAAGGGAGATGGGGAGGATTCCATAACAAAAAATACCTTATAAAGCAAATTGTTGTATCATAATAAGCTAATGAAAGCAGTAAAAATATTTCAAAGCAGGAAGGTTGATTGTTCATTTTATAGAACAACATAAAATCTTAGTAGCTGTGAATATATTTGTTCAGGGAATTTGTAGTCATTGTAAATATATATTAGATGTAAGGCAAAACAAATAAAACAAAAGAGCAACAAAAAAGGGGAAACCATAGAAGATCTATACACAAGAATGCTACTTGAGAAGACTATACAGGAGGTATGTTAGAGAAAGAGAACCCTTTGTATCCTTTGTAAGCGTAATATGCAATCCGCGTATAGTAGAAGCCTGGTATGAACAAGATTGATCCCAGTATTGCAAAGAAAAGACCTATAGATCATTCAATAAAAAAAAAGATCAAAAACAACAACAAAACCCAAAATACATACTATCTATGAAGCACGGCACCGACATGCCTTTTTCAGAGGTGTCTGTGCTAAAGAGTATACTATTAATCATATGCTTAGGTAAATTATCTAGTGAAATTATTCTCATGTTACTCAAAAAATAGAGTAAGGGCTACACCATAAATTTTTCCACAAACACTTATAAAAACAAAAGGTGAATGATACTAAACTAAATCAAATATTGTTGTCCACGGCGGAAAGCCAAAATTTTTCCATACTGGATGCTATGTGGTGTCATTATACTGGATTATGGTGAAAAAACCCACAATATCGTTGATATTCATCATTGCATCGAGCACAAAAACCACCGTGTATACCCGCCATAGTACCACAATTGCAGATATTTGATAACAATATGACAATAAGTAATTTAAGCTTTCCTACTCTCCTCCAATGCCCTGTTTGGCCATACAACTTAATTAAACACTTAACACTAGGAAGGCTTCTCATATAATTACTATAAACTATTTATAAAACTTCGGAAAATAAGCTAAAATCAGCTAAAAAAACATGATATAAGTTGTTTAAACAATTTCTCCTAAACCTATGAAACACGCACTCGAAACTCAACATTGTCGCATCGACACTGATAATAATTTAAAAACATAAATACATTAATAGTAACTACATATATCAGTGTCTGTACTAAACTTAAAACAAAGCATCATTCCCATTCTAAACAAGTCCTAACACAATTTTAACATCCTTTAAATTCCCCTTTTCATCCTTAAGCATCCCTAACTTCTAATAAGAAACAACAAAAATATATAACTTGTTCAATCAATTATAAAAATAAAACAAAAAAACAATTCTGAATCAGAGAAAGAGGATGGTTGTTACCGTGAGCGGTGTCGCCGCCGACGTGATGATACGCCATAAGGGAACCGATGATGATACCGAGGGTTCCAAAAACGAGAAGAGCAATGGCGAGACCGATCTCCTTGATGGGCGGCTTGTTGTTGGCCGTGTAAGATGTTTCCATCATCATGTCTTCATCGGAAATCGAGAATGCATGATCTACGTACATTTTTTCTTCTTCCACTCTTTCAAGTTGTTGCAGATTCAGCTGAATTTTTAGATCAACAACACGAGTTACGTGTATCGATTGGTTTTTCTTTGTGACTTTGTCTTCAAGGTACACTTTCTAGAATTCGTACGCTATTGGATATATTCGCCTTCTTTATCAATTTTTAATTTAGTACAACATTTCAGTTCAACAAAGTTCTGCCTATTATTTAATGTTTTTTTATTTTTTAAATATAAGGTATTATTAAAATAAATTTTTAAATCACAAATAAAAAACATTTTTATATAAAAAAATGATATTCCACTGTCTCAAACACTTTTAATGTAATTTCACATAGATAAAAATAATAAATAAATATAATAATTTTGTAAAATTGTTTCAACTAATTGTAGATTATTATTGTTCTGGACTGGGTCCGTCCTGACCCAAAAGCAAGAACGAAGGCCCAATCCAAGCAATTCTTCGAGGAGCGCGCGTTCGAGGATTCCCGCCAGCGCGCCCGACCAGAATGGCAGTCGTGTCCGTCGTTGCCCGCGAACATGGTGTCCTTGACCACGGGGAACTCCAGCTCGAGCCTAGCTCGAACACCTTTCTCGTAGGGCAAACTCTGACCAAATCACTTGAACTCCGGAAAGACCGCGTCTTTGTCCCTCCTCATTTCTCGCAGAGCATCACCAGGAAGGAGACCACGTGCGGGTCCCCACTACACACGTAGAACCTGGCAGTTCCTTTATTGGGCCAGTTCTGGTCGGCCCAATGAAGGGACCTTGGCCCCGCGCTGGGGGCTATAAATACCCTCTGTTCCTAGAGGGTCAAATATTCATTCTTTTACCCATACATACACTTTTTTGCCTGCTCGTACCATCACTCACTTTAGCATCAGAGTGCCTTGCAGGTACCCCCCATCTCACTCAACTTCCGCTCGGAGCTAATCGTGACGGTCCAAGTCTGATCAGGTAAGATCAGTGGCGCCGTCTGTGGGAAACTAGCTCCCCGTCTTGCAAAACCTCGAAGACCAAAGCTCAATTTCACTTCCTACCGTCATGGCTAACCAAGTTCGTGATGACCAAAACATTCGCGTCGTCGACACCAACAACGGCCTCGCAGATAAAAATGGTTTCCCCGACAACACCGGCAACCCCGGTCATAACACACTCCCCGGGAGCACCAACCCCGGGCCCTCAGTCCACCGCGACGGAGTTACTGCCTCATCTTCTTCAGTCCCTCCGCCGCTCGAAGAAGACAATGCAGCTCCCACAAGCCATCGAGCTGCACAATTTCAGGAAGTCCCTGTCCCCGTCGGGGCATATGCCACCACCCACGCACTATTCGCGGCGATCAATCAGACGAATTACCTCATCTTCGCCCAGGGGGAAAGATTGAGGGCACTAGAAGACGATCGAAGACCCGCGAGGAGACACAGGAGGCCCCAGACTCCACCTCCTCGAGTGACAGAGGTACATCTCCCGTCTCCCCCGCAGAGACAATACAGAGACGCCTCCAGAAGCCCGTCACCCCGACCCTCGGGGAGACGACCCCCTTTGGAGAGGCAACCCGTCATTGAAGTTGGGGGACGCGGCCACGCCCCCATACGGGAAGAAAGAAGACACTCTGGAGACGGGCACGGAAGAATCAACCAACAAGCACCACGCTCGATGGATGCCCAGCAGGACCAGGACCGTCGGACTCGACAATATTACAGGTCCCCATCCCTGTCCCCAGAGCGAAGTGACGAGGACGACCCCCGCGGTCCCCTGTCACAAGCCATCATGGAGGCGCCCATCCCCCCGGGCATGGAGAAGCCTCCACATCTGAAGAAATACGACGGAGTCGCGGACCCGGTCGACCACATAGACGGGTTCGAGGCTATGCTGCACTATCACAATGTCGGGGGACCCATCAAATGTCGGCTGTTTCCCACCACCCTCAGAAAGGCAGCAATGGATTGGTATAAAGGCCTCGCTCCGGGATCAATCACCTCGTGGCGAAACCTGAAGAACCAATTCATAAGTTCGTTCACTGCGTCTCAGCGACACCCAAAGACCGAGGCGGCTCTCGAGGCCATCATCCAGAGACAGGATGAAACCTTGAGAGAGTTTATCAATCACTTCAATCGCGAAGCCATACAGGTCCCCTGCGCGGACCACATGAAAATGTATTTGCTGGAGAGGGGGCTCCTCCCCGACACAAAATTCAGAAAGGCAGTAGGCATCGAGCCGCCCCGAACGTTCGATGCCCTCCTCGAAAAAGCCCGGGCATACACGGACTACGAGGAAAGGGAGGCGGCCAACAGAGCCCGGGACCCCAGAACTCACGGATCCAGCAGCAACCCACGCCAGGAAGCCGCCCCTCATCGATGGGCCGGGGAGAAAAGAAAAGAGGAGAGACCCCGAGAAGTCCGAGAGCAAAGAGGACCCTCAAGGCGTTTTACTGAATACACTCTGCTCACAGCTTCCTGCGAGCGCATTTTGGCGGAGTGTGCCAGCATGGATTTTAAAGACGGCAGCGTCAAACGCCCCCGACCTGCCCCCGCCAAGCCCGGAGCAGACAAAAGCAAGTATTGTCAGTACCATAGGAGCCATGGTCATCTGACTGAAGACTGCGTCCACCTCAAGGATGCCATCGAAACCCTCATCAAAGGAGGGAGGCTCTCCCAATACCGGCGAAACGATGCTCCCCGTCGTGACACCCGGGAGACAAGAGAACCGGAGGAAGACGCCCGACCATCTGACGAGTCGGTCCCCGTCCAGACTGCCTTCTCCGTCACCAGACCGGAGGACTCCTACGTCCCCGAACACCTGCAGGAGCCGCTCACGATGCACAGCAGGTGGGAACACTTCCCCTCCGCCATGGTCATCAATGGTGGTGGATTCAACGACCTTACTATCAATTCGGCTAAAAGAAAGCTGGATGAACTGGTCGACGCGGCACCTCCGCAAATAGTGACCTTTGAAAGGGTAAAAGGTAGGTCGGAGCCCATCACGTTTTACCTCGAAGAGCTTCCCGGAGGAGCCCCCAACGCAGTCATTCCTCTACTAATAAGAGCGAGAATGGCTAACTTTAATGTGCACCGCATCCTCGTCGACGAAGGAAGTTCCGTCGACGTGATGTACAGTCAGTTATTCCGGACTCTGCAGCTAGACGACTCGCACCTCTCGCCATATGTAGGGTCGGACTTACAGGGCTTCAACGGCTCGACCTCCAAGCCTTGGGGGTATGTCGAGCTCTTGGTTACCTTCGGCGAGGGCACGGAGACAAGGCAAGTTAAAGTGCGCTTCCTCGTCATCGACTGCTCGTCCCTCTACAACTGCATCCTGGGGAGACCAACACTGGAAGAACTGACTGCGGTACCCTCCACCGTCCACTTGAAGATGAAGTTCTACACCAAGAGGGCACGGGTAGCTACTATCCAGGGGGACCTAGTCGCTGCTCGAAGGTGTCTCAACGCCGCATCTAAAGGACGCGACACTGTCGACACCGGGACAAGGTCCGCCAAGAGACCGGCGACGATGCGACAGGAGCCCGACAAATTAGAACCCGCCAAGGTAGAAGACCAAAAAGCTTCCCCAGAGGTCGACTCCATAGCTCTGGATGCCCGGGGTGAGCAAATCCCCCTCCGACCAATCCCGAACGGGGACTTTGATCTCGTCCCCCTCGGCGCAGACCCAAGCAAGGGAGTGAAGATTGGCATCGACCTCCCTGACCTGGCAAGGAAGCAAATCAAAGCTTTCTTGCGCGAGAATGCTGACCTGTTCGCCTGGAGCGCCGCGGAGATGCCCGGACTCGACCCTGAGGTCGCCTGCCACCGTCTCGCCATAGACCCTGCCGCTAAGGCCGTAGTACAACGTAGGCGTAAGCAATCTCCGGAGAAAACGAAGGCTGCTGAAAAAGCTATAAAAGACCTCCTAGAGGCGAATTTTATTTCTGAAGCCCGATATGCAACCTGGCTGTCAAACATTGTACTAGTTAGAAAGAATAATGGAAAATGACAGATGTGTGTTGACTATACCGATCTCAATCGGGCATGCCCGAAGGATGCTTTACCTTTACCAAACATAGATATGCTGGTCGACAACTCGGCCGGCTACAAAACATTGTCGTTCATGGATGCCTATTCAGGCTATAACCAAATCCCAATGGCCATGGGCGACAAAAATTGCACTGCCTTTATGACCAGCTCAGGCAATTATTACTACAACGTAATGCCCTTTGGACTAAAGAACGCAGGGGTAACTTACCAACGTATGATGAACAGGGTGTTCCACAAGCAGATCGGAGACATGCTCGAGGTCTACATGGACGACATGATCGTCAAATCCCGAGCAGACACCGATCATGCGGCGCACCTCAAGGCAGTCTTCGCCCAAGCAAGACAATGTAAGATGAGATTCAACCCCGAAAAATGCACGTTCGGAGTTAAGGCGGGGAAATTCCTCGGCTTCTACCTGACAGAACGAGGAATCAAAGCCAATCCCGACAAATGTCGAGCATTCACCGACCTTCCGAAACCGACGTCGAAGAAATCAATACAAGTCATGAACGACATGCTCACTTCATTGTCCCGCTTCGTAGCAAGATCCGCCCAGCACGCCCTCCCCTTCTTCAGACTCCTTCGCAAAGAGGCAGCCTTCGAATGGACTGAGGAATGCGAACGGGCACTGCGCCACCTGAAACAAAGTCTATCCCAACTGTGATACGGTGGGAGAACTGACTATGGTTTCGCGTTTGTTTTCGCAAATGTTTTGGTTGAGCAAGAGCCGCCACCGACTTTTTATTTTATCCTAAGGAAAGGTTTAAAAAGCACAGCAAAAACCTTTGAGATTTTTCTTGGGTTCGGGGAGTAGATTATAGGAAGGGAAGGTATTAGCACCCTTTCTATCCATGGTTATCCATGGGCTCTTAGGTACTTGCTTAGATCAACTTGCCTTGGTTTTCAATTGTTTGAAATGGTGCTTGGTGTGTGGTTTTGAAAATGCTTTGAAAAAGATGCCTTGTATAGG